GCAGGAATCGGAACCAGCACCTGCGGCCTCCCGTCAGCCCCGCGTTCCGCTGCGGGGCTGTCGGGGCCGGGCCGGCGGTCTCTGTGTTACTGGGATGTGACCGGAGTTGTCAGCTCGGAGAAGGAATGGCTGCTGCGCTTTGCTGAGGAGAAAAACTGACTTAGCGTGCGGCAGTCACAGAGCTTTCACCTCTTTCGCAAGCTCTGTAAAGCTCGTTTTTAACCTTATAGTGGAGAACTGGAAGGGGGCACAGAAACCTTAGGAGAAATGGATCTGACAGCTGTTTTTCTTTCCCAGTGGTTCTGAGGAAGTGTTGGGAGTTCCCTTTGCCCCTCTTGTTCCCGAGGCAATGCCCAAAGTGAAGAGGAGCAGGAAGCCTCCCCCCGATGGCTGGGAGCTGATCGAGCCCACTCTGGATGAGCTGGATCAGAAGATGAGAGAAGGTGAATGGGTGTTCTCAGCCATGGGACCCCAAAACAAGCTCACAAGAGCTGCTTCATGAAGGCAGGGGGATCTTTTTTGTGTCTGTGCCTCCAGTGGTGCTGCAGGTTGATCCTGGGCCGTGCTGGTCCCTAGTTTTGGGCTTATGGAGCACAGAGGTTTGGTTACAACTGGTTTAGGGATGAAGCTCACGGGTATGTGGTAGTTCCTGTCCATGTTGTTGCTGTGGGTGTGAAGTCAGCCCTGATCCCAGTGTGGGTCATGTCATCCCATTACCACTGGTTTTATATGCTAAAGGAGCTGTTCCAGGTCAGGTCTCTTTCATTTAAGTCTCCTCCCATTAATCTCAGTCTTACCCCTGCCATGTATTAAAGTTATGGACGTTCTTGGAACAGTTCACTGCAAAAGGATTGAGGGAAGCACTTGGTCACCTGGTGTTTGTGTTCCCTCCCAGCTGAGACAGAGCCACACGAAGGGAAAAGGAAAGTGGAGTCCCTCTGGCCCATCTTCAGGATCCACCACCAGAAAACACGTTACATCTTTGATCTCTTCTACAAGAGGAAAGCGATCAGTAGAGGTGAGGAGGGCAGGGGCAAACTGGAGTGAGTGAGTGAGGTGTTCACCTGTGGATGCACTGAACTGGGACTTGGTGGTTTCTGGGGGAGGAGGATGGAGGGAAGGCTTGGCAGCTGCCCAGCTTTACCTGCTGGTTACTACAGCTGGTAGCTCCTGATAGTGAGACTTGTGACAGTGTCTGCTCCTCCCCAGAGCTCTATGAGTACTGCATCAAGGAGGGCTATGCTGACAAAAACCTGATTGCCAAGTGGAAGAAGCAGGGCTATGAGAACCTCTGCTGCCTGCGCTGCATCCAGACCAGGGACACCAACTTTGGCACCAACTGCATCTGCAGGGTCCCCAAAAGCAAGCTGGAAGTGGTGAGTCTCCAGCACGTTCCTCTGCCCTGCAGTCACTATTCTGACTTTTCCACCTCGGGGACAACAGAGGGGGTAGTGCTGTTCTTCCTGGTCATTTCCTGGTCATTTCCTCTGCCTTTGCTGGTAGAATTGGTGTCCATTTGATGCTGAAGTTACTGTCAGCTTTGACATTCATTTAAGGTTGTTAAATGTATGGGAAATAGCACCAAACTGTGGAAACCCTTCCCACGCAGAGCCATTCCCTGCCTCAAGGTCAGCCTGCTGCTCTGGCTTGGCTGTAACACCCTCCTCATGTTTGTTTTTCAGGGCAGAATCATTGAGTGCACTCACTGTGGATGCAGAGGCTGCTCTGGGTGAAGCCTTTTGCAAACTTGGTTTTTGAACTCTGAGGGACATCCTCCTCCTCAATGGACTATGAGTGCAATTACAGCCATTTTCTGTGATGGGGTATTTCTGTATTAAATTAAAGCAGCAGCATGATCACTTGGATTGTGCATAAATGCTTTGGAGTAGGGTTTTGTGTAGCCATTTATTTTAAAATAAAGCTTGCCTTCCTGAGAGAGTGGTGTGATCTTCTGGTGAAACACTCCTGTTCCCCTCTTCTCCTGTTGGGTTTGTTCTGGGTGCTTGAAGGTTGCTGTGCACAGTGAGCTGCTCTGGTTTTTTTTGTTTTTTTTTTTTTTTCAATTAAGTCAATTTAAAAGGCTGTGTAGAAGGGAAATACAGTTCCCAAATGTCCAGTCTTGAGTTTTTCCCTTACCACATGCAGATGAAAGCTACATTTCACTGGAATTCTCTGCTGAGGTTTGTAATCTGGAATTGATGCACAGACCCCTTAATGAATGCCAGCAGTCTACAGACTTCGAGTCACATGTGAAGTGACAGGACACAGACAAAACCAGCACTCAGCTAAACCCCTGTCAAATCTGGTTTTGCTTCTTCCTTGTTTTGCACAGGGTTTGCTAAACTACAGCCCATCTAATCCTCAGCAGTTGAAGGAAATTGACTGAAAATGTATTTGCTCCTCCTTAAAAAAAAGGGAAATATTTTATTATTTAACTATTGCATGAACTGGGGGTTGGGGATACACAAAGCAGTTTTATTACAAGCCAGTTTAAAGAAGCAAGTCATGCATCTTCCTTGTGCTGGAAGAACTTGAAACTTCAGCATCCTGCTCCCTTTTCCTGCACAGCCTCTGCCTCGCTGTCCTGCCCCCCAGGCTTTGCTGTCCTGTACTTGGCCCAGGGGTGGGGGGTCTCCTCTCCAGCCATAACTTTTAACCACCGGTAGTAGTAGCCCCGGAAACCATCAATCTTCTCCAGGTATGGGTTTTTGTGCTTATACTGCAAAGAGAAATCCACCAGAACAAGTTTCTATTAGATGAGAGCTCACTTCAGGAACTACAAGATGCTACCGAAGAAACCGATCAAGTAATCATCAGCTGGAGCAGACAAACCCAAAGGATGCTCAGGCAGACATTAAATCATCATATTTATGATTCCCCTCCCTTTTTGGTGTCCTTTGTGATGCCTTCACAGCCTGCCAGACCTAGCTCCTTACCCTGTCAAATTTGGGAGGGTACCGCGCTGCGAACTCCAGCTGCCGGATGATCACTTCATTGGGAGGCACTTGGTTATTCCTCATGTCCCGCAGGATCTCCGTGAGGTAACTGTAATCCAGCTGCCTCACAGCAGCAGCAATGAGGCTGCTGTAGATGTACTTGTTGGGAGTTACTCCAGACCTCTGGAAAGAACAAATGCTGTGTTAAACAAGTTTATCTGCTGACTAGTGCAGGACTTGCAGAAGGAAAGGGCAGAGGCACTTTTTACACAAGGAGCACAGCTCTCATCACAGGACCTGTGAAGCAGCTTGTGCAGTGCCAGCACAGGTGCAGGACATACCACCTGCATGTTTTTGGGAAGAGAACAAAACCACTTGTCACAAAAACCTCAGCAGATCTTTTTAAAGCATTAATACTTCACTTTGCCTCTTCCTGCAGCTCAGACCCAAGCAGCAGGTATTTTTCTTTGATTACCTTCAAATCTGAGAGCAGCTGCAGTCCATCCTGCTGTTTGTGGCAGGCAACTGCCAAGTTACAAAATGTCTGAAGGTTTGGTGACAGTCCCCTCTTCACCAGAGCTGGCAGCATGCTCTGCAAGATACAAGTGTTGGCATCATTTCCCAAAAATTCTTAATGTAGCTTTCCAGACACGGGGCTTGACATGCTAGAACAGAATCCATAAATATTTAGAAATTAACCCAAGCACCACCTTATGGGAAATGGTGTGAGATCCCAGTTTCTACTGTGAACAGAGAAATGGGTCTCAGCAAAAGAGAGGCCTGAGACAAGGAGGTGGTGATAAGGCTGGTACTGAGTTTTTTCTCTCACCTTTGCTCCCTCCAGGTCTCCCTGTTTACTTCTCTTCCTCATTAATGTGTTAAAGAAGGTCACATCTACTTTTACTTTATGATTATCCAGCAACGCCAGCAAAGAGGACTCTGATGGGCTTTGGGGTTCCACCAGCTCAGCCAGTAATGTGAATGTTTTAAGGTTGGGCTCTGCATTGTCCTCTTTCATTTTGTTCAAGAATCCCTCCACATCCCCCATCAGAGCCAGCCTGTGGGCTGGTGTGGCCACTGTCCCCAGGGAAACCACGGCTGTGTCAGCCACCCTGGCATCCAACAAGTTGGGCAGGTTGCAGAAAGGCAGCTTCTGGCTTGGGTGTGGCTGTTCCTGTTCCATCTCACTCTGGGCTCTCCTCATCAAGGCTCCAGCCCTGCTGTGAGCGACGCTGGGGCTGTCAGGAGCAGCTGGTTCTGCTTCAGCCCCAGCCACATCTTTATTTTGTTGCTGGATCCGTTCCTCGGGCTGCACCGAACTCTCCTGAAATAACTGCTTTTCCATAGCTTCCACATCCAGCTGGACAGCAGCACTCTCTGATCCTTTCTTCCTCTGATTTTGCACCTTTTTCTTCCGTCTGCCAGGTGGCAGCTTTAGCTGAGGTGAGTTCTCAGGAGGACTGAGCAGGAGTTTAGAGGCCACAGCGGGATTGCCGATCCCACAGTCTCTGGCTGCACGCAGCATCAGGTTGTAGGTGTGGCTATCAGCCTTTATTCCCAGTTTATTCATTTGTTGCCAAACCTGAAGAGGGGAAGATGGATATTAAATAACAGGAGCATCTCTACCAGCAGTAAGTACATCTGTTAATGGGATCTGTATGAGAAGGAGTGAATTTACAGCAAGACAAGGACAGTGACCTTGAGCTGGAGGTCACTGTGAGATGATCCAGGGTTATTTACCAGCATATGAGACGTCCTGAGCACAGTCTGGTTTTCAGAACCTGTGCTAGGAGGAGCTGAACTCCTCCCATTTCACCACCCCACTGCTTTTCATGTGTTCAGATGATGAGTTACAATCCAGCAGCGCTTTCCCCCCCTCTCAGAACACGAGGACAAACCTGCAAGGCAAATCGGAAGCCATTTTCGCTGTCTTTTATGCAGCTCATGAGAAGGAAACTGAAGGTCTCAGCTGTGAGGACATGGCCCTTCTGCACAATTTCCTAAAAAGAGCAGAGATAGTATTAAACTTCCAATTATCCTATGTGGTGCAGTCAAATACCACCTTCATCTTCTGAGGATAGATGTAACATGTTTTGGACATACCCAGCCAGTTTTAAAGCCAAAGCTGCCTCCTTTTAGGTAATTAAGCTTAGACTTTGGTACATACAATTTCACTGTATGACAATAAGGACCAATTAAACAGAAACACATGATCTGTAATTATGTGGAAATGAAATTAAAACTCGATGCAAAATATCAACTTCCATGAGCTTTAACCACAGCACAGAATAGGTTTAACAGGAGAAAAGCAACCAATTTACCTTGAGTACATCCAAGCACATCCTGAGGTCTGAGCAGAGGGCACAGACCTTCAGCAGGGCATGGTAGGTGATGAGGTTCAGCTCCTCATTTTTGCTCTGCAGCTGCTGCCGCAGTTTCAGGGCGCTCTGCAGCCCCGAGTCCTTCCATGGAGACTCAGCACAGGCATTGAACAGGGCTGTGTAAGTGGCCTCTGTGGGGATTAACCCTCGTTTTTTCATCTAAAGGAAGAGAAGAAGGATTTGAACTGGCCTTTTTACAAAAGGACAGCTTGAATCTTTTAACTTGTTTTTAAGAGTTTCAAGCTAAGATGGTGCTAACGCTAACTCGGAGGTATTTTGGAGACAAAGTAACATGAGTGAATGCTCTAAATGCTTTTAGCTTAGAAAATGCTTTGAGGGAGAAGTTAAACCTACATCATTGTAGAGCTTGAATGCCTTCTTCACATAGCCAACCCTGCCACAGCCGCCAATGAGAACAGTGTAATTGCCTTCTTCTGGCTGGACACGCTCCTCCTTCAGCATCTGCACCTCAAACAGCTCCAGAGCCTCTGCCAGCTACAAGGATGAGAAAAATCCATCAGGAGGCAGCAAGAGAATCAACTACAACAGATATTAATATATGCAGCTGTAGGCAGATTGTAGTCTAAATCCTACAATGTGTGTGGTTCCTCACAAGAAGGCTGGAGAGGGTCTTTGGATGAGGGCATGTGGTAACAGGATGGGGGAGGGAAGGTTTTAAGCTGACAGAGGAGAGATTTAGGTCGGATATTGGGAAGAAATCCTTTACTGTGAGGGAAGCAAAGCATTAGCACAGGTTGCCCAGAGAAGCTGTGGCTGCCCCATCCCTGGAAGTGTCCAAGGCCAGGCTGGACAGGGCTTGGGGCAGCCTGGGGTAGTGGAAGGTGTTCCTGCCCATGGCAGGGGTGGAAATTGGATGATCCTTAAGGTCTCTTCCAACCCAAACTGTTTTATTATGATTCTACAGGAAATTCTTATTTTAATTCTTTCGGTACGGATGCCAAGTGATAGAGGCTGGTCAAAACGGCATCTTTCATCAGTGCTATTAAAAACAAGAGAAGAGCTGGGTTCAAACCTTGTCCTCTTTGATGAGGGCCTTGCACCGTAGAAAGTACCAGTATGGAGTGTTCTTAGGGCCACGTCGAGGTTTCCTTTCTGGTTCTTCTTCTCCTTCTTCTCGAAGCTTTAAATCCCGAAAGCGCGCTGAGGTTTTGTGGTAATACTTTCTAGAGGAAAATTTATCAGACAGCGTCCCGAACTCCACACCTTCATCATCATCATCATCGTCATCCTTCTGCTCCTCGGTAGCTCCAGCTGAGGTGCCAGGTCTGATCTCTCTCGGGTCGCTGCCGGGCAGTTTGGAGGAGGCCTGGGAGGAGCTGCACGTTCTCCAGCCCGGCAGCGGGCCCTGGCCGGGGGGCCGGGACAGGAGCGGCGCCTGCCCCCGTCCAACCGCAGGGGCTGCGCACCGCGCCTGCAGCAGGGCGGGGGAGGCGTAGCGGCACCAGCGGGGGACGAGGAGCCGCAGGGAGCCCATGATGTGCCCGCGGTCCCCGGACCGGGACCGGCAGCGGGACCCGGGACCGGCAGCGGGACCCGGGACCGGGACCGGGACCCGGGACCGGCAGCGGGACCCGGGACCGGCAGCGGGACCCGGGACC